GCCCATGCCTATACTCGATTTCTATCGACAACCTGGAGTGCATCACCACCTTGGAGAGCAAGATAAGGACTCCTTCACATATTACCTAGGAATCCACATGTATACGACATGTATCAACCAACCTGGTTAGCTACCAAACGTAGCTTAGGGCAACTCCTCGACCGACTCGAGATTTCTAACCTTGCATCGTCCACCTATATAAGGCCCGATAGGGACCCCTCAATAGGCACGTTATTCTAGCAAAGCCTGAGGTTTCAACCCCTAGATGATCTTGGGATCGACTCCATGTAAACACAAAGAATCAAACCAACCAAAGCAACATGACACAATAACATAAACTCATCATATCCAAATAATCTGCTCCGAGGACGCAAACCTCTCTGTCTTCATGAGAAATTCACAAAGTGCTATGAGGCCACTAGAAAGACGTCGATGACGACCACAAAACTCTTAAGTATCCGAGCCCTCTCCCTTCCTCAGTGCCAAGATGGCAAACGGATATGAGGGAGCAAAAAGAGTAATATGGAAGAAAAACCAGGAAATTATAGTGGAATCACGTCAATCAATGTGATTATCACCTACCATAAAAGTGGCAAAAGGATTGAAGGCATTTGGACCTGTGCCGCTAGTCCAGAGTGCAAGACGGCCTATGCGGCGGCCGTATGACCTGCCAATGTCGCCTCCTGGTCGACTACTTCAACCCCGTAAAGTTGGATTAAGGTGAGATATACACAGCTGCACGAAATACATTCAGAACTTAGAGCATCTCCAACCGTTGGCCCCCCAGGGGGCGCCTAAAATCGTCGCCTCGGGGTGACCCGGCGCAAAAAATGGGCCTGGGGACGAGTTGGCCCCCAGCCGCCGGCCCCAGGGCCGCCCCCAGGCTCGAAAAAAATTTGTATAGCATTCAAGGGCTAAAACACGCCAAGTTTTGACTAAAACACGCCAAATTTCGGAAAACTTGGGCTTTAAGTCGAGTAGTCGCCATTACATATAAAAACTAATTAAAAAAACTTGCTCAAGGCCGAGAAGTTGCCGTCGTCGCCGCCATCGTCGGCCTTCTCCTCTTTGACTCGGGCGCGACTGCTGGACCCCTCCCCGGCTGGTGGCGGCGGCGGCGCGTCGTCGTCGTCGATGATGACGACTCCTCCTTCGTCGCGGCCTCGGCGGCGCTGCGCGAAGCGCCGCAGGGCGGCGCACTGGCGCTCCCTCGCCATCTTCAGGGAGTCTTGGCGTGCCCATTCAAGGGCCGTGTCGTTGTCGAGCTCGACCTCGCCGTGCTCCGTCTTCACCGGCGCCAGCCCCGGCTCCGTCTTCACCGTCGCCAGACCCAGCTCCGTCTTCACCGACCCGAGACCCGGCTCCGTCTTCGGCTTGACGAACCGCGGGGGAGGAGCCGACGATGAGGGAGTGGCTGGGGGAGAAGAGCTCGGCGGCGGCGCTCTGGAGAGGGAGGGCTGGGGGAGAAGAGCTCAGCAACGGCGCTCGGGAGAGGTAGCACTCATCAGAGGCGAGCGCGGCCATATATAGCCGCGCCACGTCCGTGTGTACGCGTCTGAGGCAGGGGAGGCGTCGGCGCGCCGCCCCGTGACGCGCCGCCCATGAGGAATCAATGGCAAAGCTGATCGGCGGCAGCCTTGCCATTGATTCCCCGCAGGAAACCGAGGCATCGGGAGAAGACGAGGCGGGCGGTGTCGCTGACCCGGCTGGCCCGCGTCGCTTTCGCGCCAAAAATGATTCGCCCGGCGCCCCCGAGCGCCCCCAGCGCGCCGGGTTCGGGTTGGGTCCGCCGGCGCCAATTTCGGCCCGAGCCGGCGAAAAATGGGCCCCTGGGGGCGCGACTGGGCCGAGTTTTTGGCGCCGGCGGCCGAAAAGTCGCCTGGGGGGCCTTGTTGG